GTGTTGTGTAAACCGCTGTGGTTTTTCGATTTATCAAAGGTCACGTATGCGCGTATGATAAGGAAATGGACAGTTATAGGTAGGATGAATACCTATTGGTACCTATATTGTGTTTATACACCAGCCAGTATGTTCGTTTCCGTCTCAGAATAGTGTTGACATGCACCCGTCCTGCGACTCGTACACCGCTGCAGTACCCCATCACTAAAATTATAGTATGTGATTTGTCCAGCGAAAAGCCGCGCTACTGTGTCGAAAATGAGTAAGTACTTATCACGATATTATTATGCCCACCCGGTTTGGAAGGACCACATAGACGTTAATACTGTTAATAGTAAACAGACCATTGATACTATAAAATAATATTAGGTAGGTTTTTAAATTATTACTATTATTATAATTCAGAAATTTAGCTCTATATACACATTACACTATAACTGACATTTATTTTTACATTTTTTTCTCTCTTTTTTAATTTTAAACTTTCATATTGTTTAGTATTATTTTAAATATTATAACTCATTATGTACCTAAATTGTTCTTTTAACTCGCTATTCCCTATAAACAGGTCGCTTTTTATGATACCATCCTAACCTAACCAATATGTTTATATATTCAATACCTACCTATGTATTTTTAATTTATTCATCGACTTTGTAACTATTAACATTGTGATTAATGATTCAATAAATAAATTATTTATTGTAACTTGGATTATTCGTTAGGTCTCGATCACGGCCAAGAACATGGCCATCATCGTCGGAGCTTTATATTTACGTGGATATCCTTTGTACTGGCCGTCGTTTCCATGCCGGTATTATGCATGTGTTACCTAAGTGAGTATAATAATAAACCAAAACCATGGAGTATCTATGCGCAATAAATAACYATAAATTATTAAAATAATCTACACACGTACATTATTAATGATTATGATACCGGGCCGAGGATCGAATTTAATTGTTTTACTTCTGTTTTGTGATATTCCATTTGAACATTTGTTCTTTTTTCAATAAAAATGTCTGTGCTGGTCTGATTATTTTATTTAAGAATTTTCAAAACGAAATGCCATGCTTCGAATATGCACTACACCTTTTTTATTTAACTAATAAATTGTAACTTTAAAACACTTAGATAGGTTTGACGTTTAGAGCAGTCCGAACAATTTTCTAAAGACAATGTCTTAATTGATCGACTTACATATTATATGCATAATATTAGATACTCATCTCCTATATAATGGCTATATCTAATAAACACAATATAATATATGTTGGTACAATCATCAACACGTCGCATACAAATGCGAAATGTTATGTCAATAATTATTACAAGTCACAATCTCACAACTGATATAGATATGATTATAGATACATACTAATTAGATTTGACCTTACTAAGTACATTTTTTTTCGTGTGTATCGTGCTATTATATACTTAAGCTATAGATTTAAATATTAATTTGTATGAATTAAATAAAATCAATTAGTAAAATTGTTATTGATAAAATTCATTTTATTACATTTTATTATGGTTAGGTATATCATTGCTTGGAACGTTCTATTACCAAGTATGTTAGGTATTATAATTTTTTTAAATTAGCATTTCATTCATCAGCTGATTAATGTGGATTTATWATATAAGTACCAAACAATTTATAATCTACTTATAACCAGTGTTGGGATTAGATAAATACTTTTTTATCTAGATAAAGATAAAGATAACAGGACAAAAATGTATCTAAATAAAGATAAAAGATAACACAATTCAAATTTATCTAGATAAAGATGAAAGATAAATACATTATTATCTAGATAAAAAAAAGATACATTTTTTTTAACACATTGAAATCCAAAATATTTTAAGAGTACCTACACCTTTGATACTTCTTRGTACTTCAATATTATATAAACACATGCTATATGAGTACATTAATGTCAGCAGTAGACATTATTATTAATAAATAACTAAGGTATAAATATCAAGAAAAGACTACATATTTTACACGACTCGTAACAATGTAATGTAGGTATTATTTGATCACCGTGTCCGGGCCCCTAACGAAAATATCAATAATAAAATATAATACCTGTATAATAAATAACATTATTATGAACATGATTTTTTTTTTTACTGAGACGACTTGACAATTCAAATTTAAAGTATTGGCTAATTATCATAAAAATAAATTGACAATCAAAATGTGTATTATATTTTTTGTATAGAGATGAATTTATCTAGATAAATTTATCTAGATGAATGAATTTTTTATCTTAGATAATTATTTAGATAAAATGCAACTATTTATCTAGATAAGATAAAAGATAACTAAATAATTATCTAGATAAGTCTCAACACTRCTTATAACATGGCTGAYATTTAAATATTGTGTTATTTCATCTCGGCTTTACATGCATTTGTATTTTATCACTTTGAATATTATGATGTAGGTATGTATATGTTACCGTCAATGATGTAAATTAGTTAATAACGTAAATGCCTAGCCAATATTATAAATTCCTAAAATTAGTAGTCGATATTGTCAATGTCTAGGAATTAACTGACAACATAGGCAAGGTTGTAAAATTTAATATYTWATATTTTCGTCGATTATGCTTGAAAAATCCCGGMGTTATTGTCATTACCTAGGAGATATTTCTAATTGCATCATTGACTGATTATAATAGACATTAACGATATTTACTARTCAATATCGTGTACTRCCTAATTTGATCGGAAATATCGTTATTGACTAGTCATTAACATTAATTCCTTAATTTACGTCTTTGCCGGTAACATATATATCTAATTCAAATATAAAGCCATTTCAAACCATAACTCAAAATCACCATTATATTTAAAACTATAAATACTGTTACGCGTAACATAAATAACAAAAAAATAAAAATAAAAATATATTAATATCAAACGTCTTATATTTATGAGAAGGTATATATATTGCGTAACTGCCTAATTAACAGAAAATATTACAAATGTACTTTGCTATGTTCGATGAAATTTCCTTTTGAAATAATGCTTAGGACTATTTTCATTTTATGAGAAATTTTTTATTTTGTCTAAATAATATGACATCAAAATTACCTAACACATAAACACATACACACACGATACACAGCAGCTGGACACAATTTACCTCTACTTCGGGCACCTCCAAGGCAATATTTTACCATCACCGCTGCAGTGTTTATGAGAACCTTAATCCCATCTATCYCAGGTGTTGATTGTTGAATAGCATTAGAATACTGAATGCTTTACTACAAGACTTAATACATTTAAAAATTATATATATAAGATTTAAGGTTCAATCGAATGCAAACTAATTTTAAAGCAAAATTGCTGTGCATTAAGCCTGTATTGAATATGGCTTTGAAGTTTTTCTATTGCGTGTTGTATAGTAAAAATTAATAACAATATAATAAATATAAAAGATAATAGAACAAACTACGATATTTTTGCAAACTTAACATTCTGAATAACGGACACCTCCGAATTTCAACGGCCAAGAGTGTCCGCTATTTAGAGGTTTCACTGCACATTTCAGAGGCTACAATAATATACATATTGTATGACATCAAATAATAAATTCACCTATTGTACACCGCTGAGATAGAAGTGCGAACGTCATKCTCGTAATAAGACGTTACATCGTGATATCGTATAGTCACTATACAGTATTCATTATCGCGAGAGTAGTGCCACACCACTTGGGACCCGAGCGTCGACCCCAAATTCCGAGGCCGGTTTAACGTATAAATGCGTAGTCTACCCGGCGGGCTTAGCTGGCATTTATCGGACGAGTCTCACACACAGTATTGATACCTCTATATGTATACATGAACGCGTACCTGTGTTAGGCCGAGGGCAAAAATGCAAAAAGAAAAGATGTGTTACTGGTATTGTTTTTTGATGATTCCGAGCTTAAACCCAAATCCTCGCGAGATTTTATTTGCTTTGAGTTTATCGTCTGACATCTATTATATTGTTTTTTCTTTCAACATTTATCACTACCTACAATAAATCCCGAATATTGTACACCGACCGATGGGCGATGATGCATGATATAAGCACTTCATCAGTATTTCGTAAAATAATAACAGCATAATGGTTGGGTAAAAAAAAACGTTTAATTTAATATAATTTTTTGAGCGTCAGCAATCAAAATTGTTATTATTATTATTATTATAAATTCTATATTAACATTCAAACGTTGCACATACGACATTTTTTAATTTTCCTGCAGTACCTATTATAAAATTGGTAATCAGTGATCAAGATGAATAAGTTTCAATTGTAGAATAATTTCATTCAAGTGTCTAAATTTTTAATTTTCACTATTTGCCGTTTATAAAATTTTTTTTATCACATATAAATCGATTCGTTAATACATATAATATATATTATTTAAATATTTTGTYTTTTTAATAAATATAAATCCAAGCCCTAGTAATCATTAATCAGATAATAATAATAATCAAATAGTATGTAACGTGAATAATGATACACCTATCATAATATTATTAATCTTGAAGAAAATTCTTTAGCTTTACTCCACCTGTACGTTATCTACGATAAATGATTAAAAATCCGTTTGAGTTTTAACACTGTAACGAATCAAAATATATGACTTCATTTAAATCACAAAAGCGATTGATATTCTCATAGACTGATTTATATTTTAATTTGACAATTTATTTTAAAAATTAACCAACAACAATGATCTATCTGTTTAGTATAGGTAATATATATAYATACTTTTTTTATATTTTACTTTGTTTTCAGCTACATCCATTGGCAGATTTGTACTATTACGATTTCTAAAAAAGACGTATCCAGACTTGGAGTTCATAAAGTCAGTGTCCATTCGATCTGCAATGGATACACCTAAAAATACAGGATACGTTGTGGTATTACTTAAAGTTATCGGAGATTTTGACATTAATCTGATGAAACACACGATTCAGGTACATATTTAATTGGCTTTTACCCATATAATATTATTATAATATAACTCAAAAGAAATATTAAATTTATAAGTACCTATCGCATATCCGTAAATTAAACTACATTTTCTCTAGAAAAAAAATCGTAAAATTATACTACACAGATCATCAAATCATAAACGAAAAGAAAACATTTAGAAAAATATGAAATTCATGTCAAATTAGTCTACCTAGGTATTTAAAAAAAATGCATGCGTAAGTAGTTGGTTTTACCTTGAAAAATCAAATTAACCATGGCTTTAAGTTTATTTTGGATCATGAACAAATTTATTGACATTATTTTTAAGATTATAGATTAAACCAAGAAATTTAGTTTCTTGAATTAAAAATTATTGTTCATGTATCTATAATAGATATTGTATTTCAGTAAAATATATTAATTGTGTTGTTAAAATTTGTTATATATTCTACAACTTWAAGTATTTATTACATTATAGGTACCAAATCTAAGGCTGGGCATTAGAAAGTAAAAAGTTAAGTTACTATTTAAACCAAGTTGCATAACAAGTTACATTTTTATATAAAGTAACTTCTAATTCAAAAAGTTAGTATCTTTGTAACATGTGATACATAAATACTAATCAATTAAATGTATAGTCCGTTAAGCTAATTATGTCCTATTATGATCGCCATAAATTTAAAATACATTTTGTTTMGCAAACATTTTGTTGTTTTATAGGGAGAAAAAATAGTTGAAAACATTATTTATTGGTAGGTATATATTTTTAAATAATTAATTGTAGGCAGGTAAAATTTGAATTCACTATAATTAAACGATTCAAAATAATTTATTATACACAAATAGCTTTATATCACTGCCCATAAAATTACAACCTTGTACGAAACATAAGTTTCAAATCATTCAATAATAGTATCGCATCAGTTTAACATTTAAAGAAACATTGGTGTTGTCATCAAAATTATTCACTCATATAAATATAATTCATAACTTCCGTTATAAGTGTATACCTACTAATAACTATTGTCGACCATTGGATGACCCCCTTTCTTTTATTTTAATTTTAATATTTTAATAAATGAATACTATTATTATAATATTTACTTATTTATTGTCCTATACAGCATGTTTGTATTTATTTATTCTTTTGTAAAATGTACTTATTTTATTTGTGCTTTAGCATTTAAGTATTCAGTTAAAAAAGTCTACGTCTTGATTTTTAAGTAAATTAAGT